AAATTATTTTATAGCTTTAAAAATGAAATCATATTGACAAAATTATGACAATTTATAAATTAAATTAATTAAATTTTTTATTGGCTAAAATTAATCAATATTTTATTGATCAATTTTATTTTAATATACATATTATTCCAAAGTTTTTTAAATAAAAAATCTTCGAAGTTTTTTATTATTAAAATTAATGAAATTATTTTTGTTTTATAAATTTTCGAAAATTTTAACAGGTGAAGATCTTTGGAGATCTTCATCAAAAAAGTTTCCTGATGATATATAATCATTCAATTACTAACTAGATATATATACTCTAAAAGTAGTAGTAGATTTAGCTAGGTTATCTGAATAGATTATCATTAATCTGCATATTTTTTTTTTTTTTTTTTTTAATGCCAGCTCAACATATTTATTAACTTTAATGGAGACAAATTCAAAATTTACATGGAAAGTATCATACATATTATAAGAGCTTAATAAACTACCTAAAACCAAACAGTTTACCGGATTGCTTTTTGCTACTTCATCAAGAGGAGGGGAGACTAGTCTAAGGATTACCTTTCGACTAGTGCAAGAAATATTGAAAGAAATACAAACAGGTGCTGTTATGCAAGGACCAAAGTTTCTTCTACTATCAACTGTCCACTGAGACTAATGCCAAGGAGAATTCAATACCTACTAATTATCTATCAAAGTGTTGTGTCTTTTTATCTTTGAAAGGGAGAAAGGGATGTTTTTCTTCTGACTAGAGAAAGGTATGGTTTTAGATGCCAGCTTTATTGATATGATCATATCTGGTGCTCTACCTAGGGGACTACTCATCCAAAGATCGGGTGGGACCTATAGTTAGGAGGAACCTTAAAACTATGATGAATTGATGACCTGATCTTAGAGATAATGCCAGTTTCAAGCATAAGCTGCTTATTTAAGAAGGTGCAATTCTTCCAAAGTCGGGCTAAGTCTTTAGGGGGTCTTTCAATCTGGCAGTCATTTCCAACTAGTACTTTTACCACGAGTAAGATTGGTGGGTGCCACTAGCAGTCTAGATGGCCATGCTGAAGGGGGAGTTATGTTAAGAGTCTTGATATAAGTCATCAATTTATGATCCTTCTTTTATGAGACCTGTTTTGTCTTTCGGTCCTGCTTGTTTCTTATTCAGGGCTCAGTTCTGTGTCCAAGACATCATGCTTTCTTGGGGACTTGTAATGTTCCTTCAGTATCGTACCATGCTGAATTTGTCTTGTTGTGGGCTTGTCAGGTTACTTCTATTAATACACGAGTTCTCTTGTCTATGAGCCTGTTCTTTCTCTCTCTTTTCCTTTTTCCATGATGTAGGAGATGACTGTGTCCTGTATCCATCCACATGGCAACATATGACTTACAGTGAACCCCAGGTTCTTATGGAGCTAAGGAAATGCATTTAGACATGTGAGGTGGCCAATGAGAGCTTGTTTATCAATCTTGTTTAACGCATTTCATGTCGACCAATTAGAATCAGTGGAATTCGTGCTATCCGAAATTTTAGGGTCAAGCTGGAATAGGCAAATTCTCCAAAAAGCTGTGAAAAGTGATAGCTCTAAGAGGGTACAGAACCATTCAAAGGGTGGAAAATAAGTCTTTGAATAGGAAAAAACCCTTTCTGAGATACGGTTTTGTTCCTCCACTTCAACTGTTAGGTGGCAGGTACTTTGCTGTTGGTCTTTCTCCCTTAAAGAACTTTTTTGCCATTGGTAATAAAGGTGAGTACTGGACTTTGCAGATTACAAGAGTCCAGTGTTATTCGAAGAAGATTGTAGACAATATAGGGGGAAGTAGCGGAGTCCTGAAGAAAGCTCCTTCAGGTTGGTTTAAAGAGAGTGTTAAAACTTTATTAGCCTAGAAATATAGAAACTTCTTGCGAACGTCTTTTTTGTGTATGGTCGGAGGATCAGCGGAAAGAGTTCCTCGATCACTTTGATCACTTTCATCATTAATCTGCATATACTATATATAGAAATATATAATTTGTATGAAATAATTGATATAATAATAGTAAAATATCTTCAAATAAAGTCCTGTATCTAATAACAGTTGTGATTTAAACACAAAAAAAAAAAGTATATATTGTTAACTAGATAGAAAATTAAAAAATAAAGATATATAATATATTTTTAAATAAAAAATCAAAATTATATTATATGAATTAAGATGTTAATAAAATTATAATGATAAACATTAAATAATTAACTTTATAATTAAAGAATAATTCAAATTGTTAAAAAAGTAAAATATTATTTTATAAGTTATATTTAAAACAAATTAAACTTCAATTATAGATAAATTGATATTGAAAAGTCAATTTAAATTATAAATAATTTTTTAATATACAATAAAAGACAAGTCATGTTAGTATAATAGTGAAGTAAAAAAAAAAAAAATCAGAATATTAATAAAAATTGAATACTAAATTTATATAATACGATTTTATAAATTGGATAACAATTGATATTAAAAGAAAAATTTTATAAAAATAGTAAAATTTTGAAAAATGAATAATATACTGTATAGATATTTAGTAATTTTTGAAGTATAATTATAAATTTGAGAATTTATAAAGTTGAAGTTTATAATAAAAATATAGTAATGGTTTCAAAAACTTTTGTGAGTCATTGAATATAAATTTATAATTGATAAATTAAAAAAAAATAAAAATTATATAAATAATTTTATTTCATTTGTACACGAATTCAAACCGATCTCAATATTTGTAGGGCCTCGAAAGCTTTAAAAAAATATATTGCATTTTGATAATGAATTAGTACAAAGTTATAGAGCATTGTCTTTCCCGATAACAAAAACATTCCAAGGAAAATGGTAGGAATAATGATTTATGCCAAACAAGGATAAGAAATCTCAGACTTTATTTTAAGATGGACTCAAGCTATATGAATTACGACATATTGAAAAAAAATTAAAAGAAATTAAAACAACATAGACAAAAGGAAAATTAAAGGAAAAAAAAAAACATAAAAGAAAAAAAAGTTCAAAGACCACATATGAAAATTAGTGAAAATTAGTGTAAAAAGTGACGATCGACTATAAACACGAAATATAGAAACCGTCGGGTATTGGGGAAACATAATTTTTTTTTTTTTTTAGGGTGGATGACAAAAGGAACTATAGGAACTATTCATAACTTTAAGGGATTCATTAGAGGCTCATTCACAAAAAGGACTGCATTCATCAAAAGGAATCTTAATACATAAAAGGGCTATGTTCGCAATAGAATGACTAAATGTTCGTTGTAAGGGCAAATATAAATGTATTTACAAGATGGGCAAGATGATATTATTTACAGGAACATTATTTACAGAAAGGCAAAAGGAGCCTATATGTTCAAGAGCCGTAGGACATTATTTACATAAGGCGGAAACGAAGGGACTATTTCACGCGTAAAGGACAATATATATTCATTAAAGAACAAATGAATAATGAATCCAAAACCATAAAAGATAAATGAAGAAATGAGGATTGAGGGATGATGTGTAAATTCTACGGGAGTTTTTTTTTTTTTTTTTTTTTTTTTTTTTTTACAGATGGGCTATGTATTATTTACATTATTTACATCATCTCTTACCTCCGATTGAAGTTAGAAAGGAGGGAATTTGAAGTGTTTCTAATAATAGTAGGTAATGGTGATGATGATGAAAAGGAGCTGTTTCGGCAACGGAGCTGCTTCTCGTTTGTCTAATGGTGTTCTGCTTCAGGGCAGCAATCACGCTTGTAGTGTTCGAGATGACGGTTGTTTAGCTTCACATGGTAATGGTAATAGTCGTGGAAAAATAATGGAGAAATCCATAGTGAGGAGCAGCAATTGACTTTATTTGTTGGTCGAAACGGCTTCGTCAGAACGCTCATTTTAGAGATTTTCGTCCTGCTTCTGTGCATACAATTATTTTACAACCAATCCTTTTCCTACATATTCTCATCTCATAGTAAGAAAAACCCTGCCTACCTTTCAAATCATCAAAAGCGGAGGTCAAGCCCGAAGCCAAATAACGAATCGAGGAAACTTAACCTCATTTACTATTTTACTTAATCGTTAATTCGTCATTATTGGAAATATTCATTCCGGGGGACTGAAAATTTCTTGGAACAATAATGGGCTCAAGGGGAGTTTATATATAATTATCCTGCATCAGAGGTTATCAACTTTAACCTGTATTAAACAAAGCCCCGTGACCTATTGAATTGAGTGAATTCAGGTTCTCGCGATTTAACCCAGCCACCTAGACGTGCTGTGGAGCCAGAAAAATAAATAGATCATAGAGACTGAATCCAGGTTTTCCTCCAGTTTTTTTCACTTCATAATATAATTTTGACTATCAGGAATACCATTAAGACATGGCTTAGACATCTATAAAGGCTTGGAGTCCGATCGGAATTAATTAATTTCTAATGTCCTGCTCATGTTTAATGATAATTTTTCATGTCATAACTTGAAATTTTGATGAAAGAATCTCGGAAAAATATTAGATTAATCTCGAACCAATGCGTTGATTTTCGAACAATACATGTAATATATCATTCATACTATTTATAGAAATCAAAGAAAACTTTAAGGCTTAGACAGAGATCATGTACATTGCTGATCCGTCATTAAACATGCAGAATGGCTTTGCCTTTTTAAAAAAGAAATCAATGTTTTTTTCTTGAATGATATTTCCTATGGCAGTATCTTTATAATGACATTCCGAAGGAGGAAATTTTATTATATGAAATTCTTTACTAAGTCATCACCATTAAAGTGGCTCAGATCTTCGCACACAAATAACTATTGTGTGGGAATGACGGAGATTAATTTTAACCTTAATAAAATTACTTTACTTTGAACAAATTATCAATGTAGACGATGTTTTTTTAATATTATAATTTTATCGCATAATCCCCAGTAAAATTGCTAAAGTTTCTAGAAAAGTAAAGTGTGTATGCTACCCTTGTCATTTTGATATTTCAGATAATACTCAGGTAAGTTGCTTCTCCAGCTCTTCGATTCTTCTCAATAACTCGGCAACCCTCCTGCCATGGACATCCTCATCTTCTCGATGTCCATTCAACATAATCTCTAATTTATTCTGTGTTTCTTGGATTTCCCGTTGTACCTCTTGTTTGGTTCTTTGAATTTCCTCGGTCTCGTTGCGCAATCCAAGCATTCCGTCTAATTGCTCGACGGAATTTGGAACGATTTTGTCCCGAAAAAATTCAAAGACTTCGTAAGCTTCCCGACTGGGTATGGCTTGAAAATTATATCTGTCGTTAAAAGTTTCAAGAATGCTGTCGAATGACAAGTGACTCTTGGAAGTTTGATGTCGGTATTGGTTATTTAATCGAAAAATACTTGGCCGTAACTAATTTCAGTAACAAATTAACTCACCTCACAAAGATTCTCCGCGGTTAAACCTGGTTTAACGAGTTCATCCCATAAGTTTTCTGCAACGGTTCTATTAAATTTCTTTAACTGTTTCGAATTCACTTCTCGAAATTCTTTTTCAATTTCATCAATTTTTTCATAGAATTTCAAAATATTTTTTTCACGAATATTGCCTATACATTTTTCCTGAAATCTAATTTCCGCTTCCGACAAAATTTCCTCATGATAACGTTCGAATTCCCACCAACTCATTGGAAAATCGTCAATTTCTTTATCAATCATCATTATATTATAGTAGGTGGTCCCTATGTCTAGTGCCAAAGCTGACATGAAGTTGACGATTGTTTCATATTCATCGGGTACTGAAAATTGTGCACAATGTTTCGAGGAGTTCATGTGATCCACACAATCGACAAGAAATTTTGAAAATGAGGTACCGGTTAATGGCGTGGTAGATATATGTTTTGCGGTGAGGTTATGAAAGATTTCTTGCACCGACTGAGATATTTTTGAAACGAATTCTTGATCGAGGCTAGAAGTTTCAATTTCTTCCAAATGTCGAATTTGTTTTCGTTTGCATCCCGGGTGCTTCAAAAAAGAAAGGGGAAAATTTTTAAATATAAAGTAGTTTCCAATAACAAGAACAAATGGGCACTTACAGGTAATCCATAGACATCAAAATCTTTAAAGTGATTCGTGATTCCAGCCGCGGCTTCAAGACAAAATACAAAATACAAAATAAAAATAAAAATTATTAAATTATGCCTCGGTTATACTATGTGCAAATAAGTAAATAAAAAATACCCTCGCTATCAACTTGTTGCAACTTTTCCAAAAAATATTCTTTAAAACTGTCCGGTTCATCCAATCCGAAATCCCTCAGTAAAACCACTAATCTAGGCAATGCATCCCTACATGACTCTTCCTGTTGTGATTCATCTTGCTTTTTGATGAACCTATTCAAATCCGTCATCAAATACAACTTTCCTATGTCATCCTTACCCACAACTCCATTAACATTATAGACAAAAGTTGAAGATATTGCCAAACACAGAATAAATAATTTTGTAGCCCAGTTAATATCTTGATCTGGATCATCTATGCCTTCGCAATCCAGCACCAATACTCTGTTTTCATTGTACATGAACGGGCTGTCCCACATAAAGATCCCGCGGGTACACCCTTGAGTTTTGGAACCAAGTTCAAAACCGTCGTGACGACCATGAAGTATATTGGCGAAATAAGATTTTCCTCGACGGTAAGATCCGACTTTACGTGTGCATTGTGTTGGGGGTTTTTTTTTATAAAGAATAATTAGGCAAATAATTTTTGCAAAAACTAGCATAAATCGAATATAATTTATAAATTCGATTACCAACAGAAATAACAGCGACAGGCTCTTCGATACTCTTGATAATCCTGAGTGCGTCAGAATTCACAATTATTTTTCCTATTCCGTCTTCATTTTCGCTCTTGACATAATTTATTAGTTGAATTGCTTTTCCCTGACGGAATTCAATTTCACCTCCAAATTTGTTACCTTCTTCTAATGACATTGCTGGTCTAAATAAAAAAGAAATATAAAAATTTTTATATGCTTTTATATTTATCGCTCCATTGTTTCTAAATTTGTCATTCATAACGAATGTATGTACGTAATGCAGAAATTCCTATCTAAATTATATTTAAATATTAAACCACCCAGTTTTCAAACTCTAAATTTTCAGCACCTTTTAACAAGATTGCAAACTCGTTCTTAGACGCAGGTTTGAATATTCGTTAATACTTTAGGCTTTTTACATAAGCCGGGCCCTGATAATATTACCGGTATTAAAAAATATATCACTCCAATTCTCAATACCCTAGGATAAAGTATGCTATGGAATTTCGCTCGAAATAGACTTTTCTAATAGAATCTTCTTTTCTTTCTTTTCCTTTATTCCAGGAATTTATAAAATATCCCTCTTTGTAAACAAAACAATTTTAAATTGCCAATTAATTCACTTAAATCAACTACGTTATCGTATTATGGTTTACCATTTTAATATCTCCGCATCTGAATTCATTTAGGTTTGGATACCTATTCTATTTTTTCTTTTTTTTAGTTAATATTTTTTATTTTTTTTTCATGCAAATGTTCCATCTTCACCCATTAAATCAGGTCTTGAGACATAGTTGCCCAAGCCTTTTCTGGATTCAAATGACTCACCGTTAAGCTAAATTCGCAGATAACTACGTGCCATATGGTGAGAAAAGACTTCAAATTTGGATTTCTAGTATAAAAGAGTATTAACATTTTGTCAAGTAGATAAATAAATAAATATATATATATTTTTTAACCCACATTCAGGCCAATATGGCTTGTCCATTTTATTGTAAATATATTTTGGTATTTACATATTTTATGACTTTCACATATTGACTTACTCATCTACAAAGTTTAACCTTTTCTAGATGAAACTTAGGGAATGATATTTTGTTTCCTTTATGGCTTGGATTATTCTCTAGCCACTCACTCAGATCATTGCTTACAGCTTATCACTGTAGATCTCTTGAAGTTCTAATTATAATTAAAAACAAAACCATTTAAAATCTTTGGATATCTAATTACTTATTATATCTATCATATTGTCTTGAGATTTCATTCATTTTAAGTCTTCTCCTTATTCTGTTACATTTTTAAAGAGAAGAATAAAGGAGTGGTTGACTTCCTTAGGGACTCAATCCATTTTTCTAGTTGTATCAATTAGTACTCTAAATCTTTTAAGTTTAATAACAATTTCTTGGTTTTATTTCTATTCGATAATAATACTACAATGTTTGTTCCAGACTTTTTTCTTGAAAGTTTTTTTTATTTTTTTATAATATTTATCAATAGCCTCTTGTATTATTGTTATTAGGATCTTGAAGGCTTTAAGATGCTCTTCCAAGATCTTGATCTTGTCTCTATATATAAAGTTATAGACTGTATTATATAAGTTTTCATCCTTTTGTTTGATATTTTGAATCTATTTCCCTGTTACTCTTTTAACTTCTGTTTGACTCTTGTTAAATAGGTCTTTTATTTTTTTAATATACTAAAAAATTTTACTTTAAGATTTGTTTCATATAATTGATCTTTCATTCGAAGTCTTGGAATATTCAAAAAGATGTTTTAGGATTTTCTCTTGTAATTTACATATTGAGCATATTATATTTGAATATAAGTCTGTTTTTCTTTTTTTCATTATTTGAAAAGTAGAAAGCTCATTATAGGTTAGATTTATTAGAAAACTTTTATCCTTATTGATACTAAAGAAGATATAAAAGATATTGAATAAATTGAATTATCTTCAGAAAATTTGATAGTTAATTTTTTTACTAGAGTATATTCATTAATCTTGGATATTTTTGCTTAATCCAAGCTAGATTTATTTTCTTTGTGTTCTATTTTTTAAGAAAATTTTTAATAATATATTTCTTCCAAGCTATTATTGTGAGAGCTTGACTCAAATCAAGTGTTTGTTGTCAAATCAAAGAGTTTTCTCTTTTGACCTGCTTTGCTAATCTGTTTGTTATATTGTTGAACTTATTGTCTTGATGGGTCTTAATCTTTTCAAGTATAAAGCAAAGATTTTTCTTTCATACTAGGTTCTTGATTTGAATTTATAGTGATCGGTTGATCATTTTAATCCATTTTCTTATAAAAATAAACTTTTGTAACTGGATTGTTTTTTATATCTTTATAGCTACACTCTGATCTATATATATGATTACTTTTATATTTTCCGGTATTGTAAAGATTGCAGTAAGTATAACTAGAATTTTTGCTTTTATAGCTAATGGCCATAATATTGCTTTTGTTAAGAATTGATTGATTATTATATTATTCTTAGTTTGAATCTATACAAAACTCATTTTGAGTTCATTTTCACTTTTTGTATATTGCTTGTAAGATTTGTCACTAAAGAAAGTAAATTGTTTTATATTTTTTTTATAGTTGTATTCAAAACTTTTTATTAAATTTGTAGTATACTTCTCTAATTATATGGTCTGTTTAATCAGTTCAATTTCTCAATTCCCTATTTGTATTTCAATCTCTTCTGGTTCCAACAAATATATAATACTTGATCTATTTGTTAGTATTATAGACTGCCAGTTTATGAAATTTTCTGGAAATATGAGTAAATTCTTTTTTTTAATACTTTCTTTTCTATTTGATTGCAATAATAATCAGGTTTGAAATATGTATAAAATCATTGATTGTTTAAATATATGGGAATAAAAAGTAGTACTATTTGTAATAGGATTGTAGATAAGTTAATATAGTATAAAAAATACTTTTCTATTTTGTATTTTGACTTTTCTTATAGTAGTTTCTACTATTTTGATCAAAACTCTTCAATTGATTTTCCACTTATTAGTTTTAGAGATCACTTTTATCATTTAAAGTTTGTATTCAGTTCATTTTAGAGTTCGATAGAACTATTTTAGCAAATCTTATTGTTCAATAACCTTTGCTCTAATTTGTGTATATCAGTTTGAAATAGAATCTTTACAAATATTAGCAAAAATTTAAACTACTCTCCATTCTTTTATTATTAGTCTAGTTGTATTGATTAACTAATCCAAAAATATTATTTTGTTTCTTTTTAGAGAAGAAATAGCTTTTATATATTCTTTCTTATTATTTATAATTGTCTTGATAGACATAGTACCTCTTTAAGTATCAAAGATCTTTTTCTTTTTTAGCTGTTATATGTAATCTGTAGTTTTTTTGTTATGGTCAGAGTTGCAATAACAAAATTATCTTTTTCGATTGTATTGACTTCTACTAAATTGTCAAATATATTTTTGGGCTTCTAGTATTTGAGTTGATTTTGTTCAAGTCAAATAACTATTATAATTTCTAAAGCTTTACTATTATTTAGTTGATAGAATAATGTTATAATATGACTTTTGAATTGAATTTCCTATATACTTTTGAGCCCATAAATTTGTTTGTTATATATACAACTGTTTGGTATTGTTTTACAAATTAGGATATTGTTTTTGAAAGCTTTTTTATATATAACTATTTATTGTTGTAAACTTTCTCATTCAAGTATATGTACTGCATTCTATACTCTATACGAGGAATTAGAATTTTATTAATAATGTATCTAATATATTTTTCAGTTAGGCTTTTATTGTCAATTGCCTAGATTACTGTTCTGATCTCTGCCTTGAATAGATTAATGGTATTTCAATTATCATACCTTCTTTCTAACCAGATACTCAATAATCTTGCTTAATTGTATTTGTTTAATTCCTTGACTATTAATTTGTTTATCCTTGCATGAACTATGACTAAGTCTGTACTGTTTTAGTTAAAAGTCAGGAGGATAAATTTTTCACTATTTATTTATGAATAATTTGCCTGATAGAATTGTCTGACATCTTTCAAAATACATTCCATATTAGCTTTAAATTTGACAATTCAAGTAGTATAATCCATATATACTATCACTACTTGTCTTAAAGAAAGTTTTTTCTAAACTCTTTCTGCTGATCCATATTTTTTCAAAAAAATTTCTTTTTTTGATAATTTTCTTGAAAAAATCACAAAAACTCTTCTACACAAAAACAAGCCTCAAAGGACACAACCATCCATTTCTAAGCAACAAAATCTACATTACAACAAATAAGAAAAGAGTTTCGCTCAGCTTGAAAGACAGATATTTCTAGGTCACTTTTGCTTTTAGGAAGAAGAAAAAGCAAGA